ATTTTTCAATAGGTCACTCATGTATAGCTCTATTTATTTTCTTTAGAAGCCACTTTGAAGATACCAAAGTATAGCACAACAACTCTTGATAATCTCCTACCTCTTTTGTCTCTATTATTTGTCTATCTGTTTTCCTGAGAAACTATTTTGTAGATAATAATATGTAAAACGATAACCATTGATAATTTCTTACCATTTTGTCTGTAATTTGCTAAGTCCGCCCTATTATGTTATCCTTCTTTTATTCTTTAAAATAATAAAAAAAAAGTCAGCATAATGACACAATAAACGTAAGCAGAAAACTCAAAAAAGCATTAAATGCTAGTTCTTATTTAATTCACTTACCAACTGCCAAGCACCATTTTCCTATTTTGCTAATTACTTTAACTGTGATTTCCAAATTTGAAAAGTTAAAGTGAAATTTAATGTTCTACTTACCAGCTGTTTTTCTTGTTTCTCTAAAGCTGCTCGATCTCTGATTATAGCCCTCTGTGTACCTCGTAACTCTCGATTCTGCTCCTTTATGACATCTAAGAGAACCACAAGAGAAACCTACATTTATGGATGTGAAATATTGTTCGATACCACTGAAAATACTGAACCAAGAGACCACAACAAAAGAGAAACCTTGACTTACTAGATGTTAGATATTTTTCCTTCAGTTTAATATACTAAAAACTTAGTTACATATTAAAATATGGGTTATAAATATTGAGAGAACTGAATTGACAAATCAATACAAAGAACTGAGAAAAGACAAGTACAAATATGCTACAGTTGAACTTTAACCAGAGTATATATCACAATAAAGTACTCTCTCAGAGAATTCATTACCATACAATCTTACATGACATACATATATACGTGACACACACAAACTTTTCACCTCCCCTTTACTCAGTAATGTATGAACTACAGAAAGGAAGAAAGATAATATATTTTATTATTTTTTTTCCTACAGTTAGTCCTAACAGACTGAAACATACCTTCCAATAAGGCAGGTATGGATTTAAATTATACTTTTGCTGCTTGATTATTATACAATTACATTTTTAACAAGTTAGTTAACAGGTTTCTTATTTATAAAATAAGAACTATTTTAATATAACATTAAAAATTCCCTGATATAGTGTAAATATCTGCTCAAATATAAGGTTTTTGTAATTTATCTCAATTCATTTAGATTCTTTATTTCTATCTTTTGAAAAATGGAAATATTACTCCAGCCTTGATAGATGCAATTTAGGTTATTTGCTACTACATAAAGACAGCTTTAAAATATGACAAAAATCAATGTTAATTCTTTCTAACACTGATCACTTTTTGACAGGAACTTTAAGTGCTTTATGTATTATATAATTTGAAGATTATAATAATTTTATGCTGCTAATGTTTCTATTTTATATATAATAAAATTGAATGGTAGGAAAGTTAAATAGTTTGCCTATGTCACACTGGTGAAAAGCAAAAACAGTATATTTGGACCCAAGCATCTGTCTGTCAACCAGTGATCTTAATCACTTCACTAGAGCAATATTTTAATGAAAAGGGAGGTTAAAAACATCAACAATAGAAAAATCTCTTCATCATTTTTGAAGAGAACATTCAAAGTGATACAGTCTCAAGACAAAATAATTATTATTTACTTTTGCTATTGAGTTTTGAAGTTCCTTCTATATTCTGGATATCAACTCCTTATCAGATATATAGTTTATAAAATGTTTTTCTTCTATAGGGTGTCTCTTCACTCTGTTGCTATCACTTTGAAAAATCTCTTCATCAAGGAAAATATCTCAGCTATGTTTATAAATTAACTCAAAAAAGATCAATGACTCAAATAGAAGAGCCGACACTGTAAAATTCTTAGGTTAATAAAAGAATAAATTTTTATGATCTGGGATTTTGCAGTGGATTCTTAGAACAATGAAAGCATGAGGAACAAAAGACATGAAATGCATAAACTGGACTTCATAAAAATTAGGACAGGCAGGAAAGGACATTACCAAGTGAAAAAACGATACAATTGCGAAAAAGTACATACAACTGGTACACAGAATATATAAATAATTATAACTCAAAAACAAAAGACAAGCCAATTTTCAAAGGGACAAAGGGCATTCCTCCCAGGAAGATAAGAATTGATAAACACATTTTTAAAGACAAGGAAATAATTAGTCTTCAACAAAATGACATATCACTTCATACCCACTAGAACAGCTATAATAAAAAAAGAAAGAACAACTTGATGAACGCATGAAGATTGCAACCCTTATACACTGCTAGATAACAGTTTGCTGATTCCTTAAATAGCTGAACATAGGGCTAGGAATGTACTTCAGTGGTAGAGCACTTGCACAGCATGCATGAGACTCTGGGTTACTTTCCCCACATCATAAAAAAAGTTAAGTACAATTACTATATGATCTTACACAAACGAACTAAAACATAAGAAACAAAATCCATGACAAACAAATGGGACTAAACTAAAACTCTTCTGCACAGCAAAAGAAATATCAACAGAGTGAAGAGACACCCTACAGAAAAAACAAATTTTATAAACTATATATCTGATAAGGAGTTGATATCTAGAATATATAAGGAACTTCAAAACTCAATAGCGAAAGTAAATAAATAGTAATTATTTTGTCTTGAGACTGTATCACTTTGAAGGTTCTTGCTTTGATTTGTTTATGTTTGTGATACTGGTATGCTGTTCTGTTCTATTTCTTTGTTTCTCACTTACTACTCTCTTTAAAATAAAAAAGAAGTCTTAAAAAAATACGGAACAGACATAAACAAATACCTCAGAAAAACATATACAAATGGCCAACAGGTATGTAAAAAATGATCATCATCAATAATTACCAAAAAAACCACAAATTTAAAGCAGAGTAAGATATCACTTCATCCCAATAAGAACAGCTATTATCAGTAAGACCAGAGATAACTACTCGTGAGCATGTGGAGAAAATGGAAGCCCTACGTATTACTACAAGAATGTAAATTAGTACAGCTGGTATGGAAAACAGTATGGAGGTTCTGCAAAAAAATAAAAATAAAACTAATGTACAATCTAAGACTCTGGGTATATAGCCAAAGGAAATAAAATCAGTATGCCAAGGAGACATCTCCATTTCCATATTCATTGTAGCACAATTCGAAATAGCTAAGAAAAGGAAACAATTTAAGTGTCCATTAAACGATGAATGGATTTTTTAAAAATGTGATAAGGCACACAATGGAATACTATTCACCCATATAAGAGAATGGGACTCTGTCTTTTGGAACAACATGGAAAGAACTAGGGTGAAAGTAAGTGAAAGAAACCAGGCACAGAAATTCAAATACCACATGATCTCCCTCTTGTGGAATCTAAAAATGTTGTTCTCATCGAGACTGAAATGTAAGGGGGTGACAAGAGGTGAGGAAAGGTTGATTAATGGATATTAAATTACAGTTACATAGGCTCAAGAAGCTATTCTACGCTATTTAGTTGACTTTAGAAAAGAATAATATACTGTATGCTTCAAAAAATTAAAGGATTTTGCAAGTTTTCACATGAAATGATGTTTGATAAGACAGATACATTTAACCTTATTTGAATATTATCTAGTATGCAATGTATTGAAATTATCACATAGTATACTTCATTATGTATAATTTTTATGTATCAGTAAAAACAAAATTTAAAAATACTGAAACAGGCACATAATTATTTATAGCACTATTTACAATGAAACAACTTGAAAGGTCATGAACCTATATGGACAGATAAACATTTGTGGTATGTTCATAGAATGGAACATTGCTGAGCTATCCAAACAAATGAAATGTACAACCTGGATAAACCTAAAATATATTATGTTAAGTGAAAGGGGTCAGATATGAAAGATATTATGACTATATAATACTCAGATGAAATACCATATCCAGAATAGGTAAATCCATAAGGTGAAAAGCAGTCATAACTAACACTCTGTTGTGAATGTACTAAAAACTAATGAATGTTCACTTTAAAGTGGCTGATGATATATGAATTTCTCTACAACAAAAACAAGGAAACCAGTATCATTATCTTTATTAGGGTAAATTATAAGTCATATCTATCACATAGTATCATAGTTACAATTATTTAATCGTTGTTATAATTACATCCTTGATAAAATCAAATAAACTATAAGAGTTTCTGAATAAAAATTAAAATAAGCCAGAGCTCCTGTTATCTTATATACTGTATAAGACATCTATTTTCCCTCCTTTGTTTACCTTGTTTTTCAATTCAGTTAAACTGATAAGGCTTTATTGTTCATGATTTACTAAGGATGCATTCTATATGCTGCAAAAATACAGAAGTAGCAAACCATAGTGCAGAGGTAAAACAAATCTCTGCTTCACCCTCTGTAGGTTCATAAAATGAAGTGACGAAGATTTAACAAGAGCAAAGGCATACAGATGTACTCATGTGCCAAACTCGGTTAAAAATCACAGCACAGGGAAAAAACACAAGACTGATTATCTACTAGCTCTAAATTACTTAGAAATTGTTTATTACATGAATACACACTGCCAGTTTTTAAGGGGGGAAATCTATTTTAGATTATTTCCTACATTTATTATGCAGATAATCCTTTTTATAAAAAGCTATTCACACAACCGAGATATCAATGTTTTATGGGGCATTGGTTAGGATTCTAATATAAACGAAATGATGTATTCGTTTGCTAGTGTTAAATAAATACTATAGGAGGTCATTATTTTGGATTAACTTCCTGCACTAGTCCCCAAAAGTCCAGACTAGAATTCAAAATGGAGGCATTCATGCTAACATTAATCTGATCTTCTAACAAATCAGGAAAAACTACCAAATTTCACAAACAAGCCAGTTTCTATAAAGGAACTTCTCTCACTTTTAATCCTTACAAAACAAGTAACCTGGAATAAAAATAACTAGACTGTCAAGTTTCTATTATTCTTTCTCCATGTCCCCATTTTGGTAGGAAAGTCATTTTGAAATGACCAATCTGTTCTTTGGTATTTTTGTTTGCTTCTTTCTTCTCTTTTTGGCCAGGCCTTTTCCTGTTTATAAAAACCAACTTCCTTTGTTCAGCTTATTGGAACTTATTCTGTTTTGTGAAATGAAAGTCTACCTGATTCTTGATTTCGTTTGTGGGAGGAATATGGGAAGGTTTGGAGATGTTACCTAGAAATGCCCATGGTGTAAGTAGAGCTTGATGGGCAATTCTGTTGGGAATCAGAAAATCAGAATGCTAACAAAAATGCTGAAAGTAAAGAAAGCTTTGTAACCAAGCTCCTGAAGTTACAAACAAAAGCAAGGACTCTACTGGAAATTGTACTAAGGGTCATTTTTCATTCTGGTAAAGAACTTAAACTAATCTTCATTTTCCACATGTCCTGAGACTTTGGAAGATACTAAGGATAAATATGGTAGATCGACTGATCTGGGGGAAAAGAATTCAAGGCAGTCCAATGTTCAGACTGTGGCATGGATATTGCTGGCTGACCTTATGCA